GAATTATTCATGCCTAAATAAAATAGTTTTGGTTAGTGAACTTCGAACTCTTGTTTTTGCTGATAAGTCCATATTTTTAGCAGTTTCATGGTGAATTCTTAATTTGAAATAATGGTGGAGTATTAGTTTTATTAATTGAACCATGTCCATCTACAGGATCATCATCAAACAAATGGTGCTCAAAATGGCTTAGAATTTCTGGTGGTAAAGTTTTGTTCGTATTGATTTTCAATGTTTCTAATAAATTGTGAATATTTTTATTGAAAATATTTGTGGTTTTGTGGAAGAATCTAAAATATTTTTATAGTTGAATTACTAATCGAGAGGCTTTTACAAGTTTACCATATTGTTTAACTCTCTGTAACGTAGAAATGACTTCGGAACTTTCTAATGCACTGCTGCATTTTGTGCAAGTGACACATTTTTTTCATTGTTTTTACCACAAAACCAGAAATATATCCTACAACATTTTCGCTATAGTCAGTCAAATCCCAAGCAGATGAAGATGATATGTATGTCGATATATTATTTTTGACGTCTTGTTCAAAGTCTAAATACTGTTTGCTGTCTGTCAAATCATCTCCACTATCTGTAGCAGTAATTTCTCGCCCACTACCACACGACAGAATTGTTACACTATTCCCATCTGAAATATTTCCTGAACTTGGACCTGTTATTTCAGTATGGACGAGTAATCTTTTGTAGGCTGCTTCAAAGTGCCTTGCACTTGGGTTATTATTATATCCCCCTTTCCCTCTTATTGCACCGAAAAAAAGTTCCAAGTGGTCTTGTGATAATTTATTCGTCAATATGAATTTTAATTTGTTTTCTAAAATATATGCATTATATAGACCCTTCAAACTGGTAATACAAATAAGAAAGCCTAAAAAGCCAGTCTTTCTAGGCGACTGAATGATTGGAATGCTTCCTAACTTTAAATTTTTTATGTAACTGCTTAATTCATCAAAAAAACTAAAAAAATGTTCAGCCGTTGCTGGTGATAGTGGTCTTTTAAATTGATATTTGGCCAATTTATTTCTGGAATTGAATATATCAAATACATCGTTGAATTTTTTGATGAAAATAGCTGTGGCCTCTGCATTTTGAAAAGCTGGAAGCTTAAGATCCTTACATAAATATGATAGAGCGTCTGCTACACTTTTACTCAGTGTTTGGGTAGCTATTTTCACTTTCATTTTTTCTCTAACAAACTGCAGATGGCGAACAGTAATTTTAGTGCCTAAGTGCAAGCCTTCACTATATTGTGTATATACCAGTTTGCTTAAAAAATTCCAGTCTATTTGATTTCCATCTTGATCAATTAAATATTTTTGAGACCCAAACGTGTTTCGCACTAATTTGATCATGTGACATGGGTCTAGAATTATAAACACATCGCTACCAGTCACAGGATGGGTGAAGCAGGTTTTCATAATACTGACATCAAAATTAGCTCCTAGATGAGAAGCCATAGTAAAATTAACTGGCGCACCATCAAATGTTAGTGACGTCACTATAACACCAGATTCGTGAATAAAAGACAGACATTTTTTGACAATCTCAGCCTTTTCTTTTCCACTAAGACCATCTAAAAAGAAATAGCCTACTGGTATTTTCCATGAGCCGTTCAAACAAACAAGCATGAATACCAAAGCTTCTTTTGCTTCAGGTAAAATGTCCGAGTCGATCTTTAAGCCAATATCTATATACCCAGAGAATGTACTGCCTGTCCATTCCACCTGGTGACGGATGGACATCTCATCTAAGACCAAATTGCAATAGACTGCCTTACCTTGTGACAAAGCGAATTCATGTTTTATTTTCAAAGCCTGCAGGGCTTCTTGGGTGAAGCCTGGGGAACCATCAACCGATCTATACCATTTACTGATAGTGCTTAGATGAGGCAGTGATTTATTGAACGTGTTCCTGACAAAATTATAAGCTCTAGGCGAATAAAAAGATAAAGTTAATGCAAAAGTCCTTATTGAAGGGTCATACTTCTGTGATGATGGCCCTCGTAACATTCTCTCAAAAATTTTAAGAGATGAGCCGGATAACGATGCCTGAAACAGACTTATTTTAGATATCGAATATGTGGGTAGCATAGTTAAAATTATTACCCTCAAAACATTTTCAGATGAGTCACTTATGTAAGACTTTTTCTTTAAAACACTAATAAGGCTATTTAGTGTCCTTACTCTCTTCCTGAGTGAGTTAACTGTGACTCGAAGTCCATGAATTCTTTTTCTCTGGGCCTGTATTACATTTTTCATTATGCAAAAGTTTCTTTTTGCTCTTACAGGTGAGGAGAAATCATCACTCGACATATCACCAACATAACGGCTCTTCCTAAAAGAATAAAATAATATGATATCGATAACAATTTTAATTTCAGATAAAATTCAGTTCAACATAACATCAAACAGGAGGCGATACACATTTAAAATCTGATTTTTGATTCTGGCTTCCCTTTTGTCCATTGTCCGCTGATCGACTCTTATGATATAAAAATGTCGGTTAAAAAGCAATCCATTAACATTGTTATTACTGAGCCCAAAATGGTTTTAAAATATCTGGTAGTAGTGTTTATTTTAGAAATCTAAAAAAAAACTTTACGTCTGTCTCTTTAGTCCTGCAACTGGTTTCGTGTGAAAATCAGATGTAAGGGCAGGCATTGCTACAGAGTCCAGCTGTTCTTCAGCCTCTGATGCAGTAGTCGTATCTGATGAACTTGAATTAGCAACTGCTGGATAAGATGGTAGCTCTCTAGATGGTCCCGAGTACACATTTTCATGTTCTAACCTTCAAAAAGATATATGCTGTTAATATTTTTCAGAGTCATTTAAAATGCAAAAGAATATAGTGATATGATACAAAATTGCTAATACGAATAGATACAAAATATTTATTACCTGTGCTTTTCTTGAATCTGTAGCTGTTCTTTGGTCTCTGTAGCTGTATCGGATTTCACATCAGCAACAATGTCTTCAAATCTCAAGCTTCGAAAGAAATACATGTAATGTAATGGATATCAATCATTGATAAAATCCATTGATGCCTCATTCCATCGACATACAGCCATTGATGCATCAATACATCAACATATAACCATCGATGCATCAATACATTGACATATAAACATCAATGCCAAAACATCAATATTCTATGATCCATGTATTGTTGTCATCCCTAAATATTAAAAATACCTAAACATATACTAACCGTTTTACAACAGGGCCACAATCTGCTGAAGTGGCGGTAATACACAGAATGTCAATTTCTGAATGAGGCTCTGAGCTTGAGGAAACTCCTATTTGTTCCTTGCCAGGACTACTAAAAGAGCTGAGACTAAGCGATGACTCTGAACTAAAATAAATAAATATAATTCAATCATATATCCACATAATATCAGGTAGATAATTATTAATTATGTGCTCCTTAAATGATAGCTGATACATAACTAATAAAAAAATAATATGCATCTAAATATGTATCAGCAAGGTGAAATTTTAAATACAAGGGCGTCTGCAGAAAAGTATATTTTCATAAAATGCAACCTCATAACTAGAGCAAAGTGAAATGTTTTTGTTGCCCCAATTTTTGGTTGTGATATCATGCTTAAGCTATCCTTATACCCCTAATTACTATTATAATATTACCTGGCGCTCTTTGTGAGATCAAAGGCAGAATGCACAGCAGTTGGAACAGCATCACATTTGAGATGCCTAGCTCCATCAGGCATAATTACAAAATCACTTTTCTGAAAGTGTTTGGAACAGACGTAAGCATACTTTGGGAACTGGTGGTCTTTCTCAAATCCCAGAAGAGATACCCAAATAGATCTTCTTGTAGGTTCATTAGGCATCCTAAAAGATTACGGAAGTGCTTTAAAATGTTCATTCATTGTAAAAACATTAAACTATCGGATATCGAGAATGCGTCCCCACGCCACTGGACTTTCTAACCTAACATTTTTATTTTCACTTACCGATGAAAAGATAAGCCTTCTGCTTCACGCTGACGAGTGTATATCTTGCAAACACAGCACTGGCGCACCATGATCGATATCAAATAATAGTTTTGGATAATTTAAATGCACAAAACACAATTCGCAAAACGACGCACAAACCGGTACAAACTCAAAACATCCCAAAACATGAATGAAGTCAGGTAGTAAGGATCGTAGTAAAGATTGACCTGCGTTGCCAAATTGCGCACATATTCTTTGACGTAGGTACATTATTCTTAGAACTATTTATGATATTCGGACAAAAACTGTTCTAGATTTATAGTCGCCGTCCCAGAGTTATGATTTCAAGACACATAAATTTTGTCTGAAGTTATTTTTATATGCTAAAATATCATATAATATCTTTGAACTACGACAACAATCGTTTGCTTGGTTTACCTTCCTGTGAAATCCGGCAACTATGTAAAATACAATAAGGACAACATTCGAATGTTGGAAATTACAACTTTTGTAAACAGATAGGTCTATCTCTCTTTATAGTCGGTGGTCTGGGCGTAAGTGGACTACGAATAGGGTATAGTAACAAAGGAGAAATATCTGCTTGAAATTCAGATTTTTTCTAACCTCAAGTTGCTTATTTGTCAATCGTCAGTAGGTATATTTACCTTCCTTTGCAGCACCAACGAAAAATGCGATTTATAATTTTATGAAAACAGAACGCACATCTCTGAGTGACAATGAGACATATAAACAGTAGACTGTAGTTTCCTTCTACCGTACTAGGAGTCGGTAGTGTCACGGTTGGCTAACTATTTTTAGATGACACTTTTACCTTTATTTCTCGCTCGTATCTCGATTCTTACCCCATCATGAAGATAGAGGAGCATAGTTGTGAGCATAAGTGGTTGTCGGTGTCCCGATACATAAGCCCAGTTTTAGGTATGCACGGCTTCAATATTAAATGGGATACCTTCCAATGGCGAATATGTTAATCAGTGCATATACCTACCACTAATACAGCATGATCGACCTAATCAATACCATTGCTACAAGTAGACTCGTCATAGATTCCGTCAAAGTAGAACTGGAACGTTGGTCGACCAGCATCAATTCCTACTGAGGCGGGACAAGCGGTACCAACTGCTATTTCAAGCGCTTTTTCATCGCCCTCAGGAATCTCCACGTAACCTTCTTTTAAATGAACAAATATCAGGAACTGAGCCCATTACTCACGAATCATCATTTTACACTTAATATATGTATTTTAGAAGACCTTTGATAATCCATCGCAATATTTAGAGTTAAATTGTTCGTACATAATGTCAATAGTATCAATATTCTTGGCCAGATAGGTCCTAGATAACGTTAATTTTATGCGAAACGTTAGTGTACAACTAACTGTCAATGCCTTTATGGAGTATTTGCAAGAAGGATTAATATCGTCTTTTAAACTTCAAATTCAAATTAATAACTATGATTACTGGTATGTCATTCATATACAGGGTGACTTCGAAGTTGAGTCATTTATTTTAACAGTGAGTAGATCTGATCAAAAGAAATGTTTTTTTCCTTTACCATTTTTCTGGTAAAATTAAAGTAACAAAGTTATAGCCCTTTGGAACTTTGAGTACCGCCCTGTCTCAATAATAATATTAGGTACTCGTGTTTGGCGACAACGGATATAATCCGCCGTATCGGTTCATCGCATCGGAAACAAAAAAGCGAAAGAATTTGGAACGATGTTTTTACAAGTATCTCAGTCATTTGTATACAGTCAGTGTCAGTGAAAGTGGTATCTGTTGCGTGGCTCAAACGAAATAAAAAATGGCACATGTTTATGCGGATCGGTTTCCCAATCGAGTGCAACCAACCCCTAGTGCCTTTGTTAATGTAGTACAACGGGCTCGTGAATCAGGTGACTTAAGACCTCACAGGGGACCTCACGATCAAATACAGGTCCGCACTGAAATACTTGTCGGGAGGATACTTTATAAAACAAGGTAAAAAATTCTTTTTAATTTTTTTTTTATTTTTACACACATATTTTGGTTTATCTTCCTTCTACAATCATTATCTGAAAATTAATGACTCAACTTCAAAGTCACCCTGTATGTAGCGTCATTGATAGGCAACATGTAAAGAACTGGTATTTTTGGTGAATTTTTGCATTTAAAGTACTTACAGGTCTAAGAGACTGGGTAACCCAGAACCCAAATCGTTTGATTAATTTTGTATTCTTTTCAGTCCATTTTGTGGCCTTGTGATGTAATATATGGACGAAAAGGCATCAGGGTAGATGTATTATAATAATAATAATAATAATAATAATAATAATAACGCCTTTATTCATATTTTGTACATGTGAGGGACAAAGATAGCGAAGTTTAGCTTGAGCTACTCTTACACTTAACTACCTTTGTCTGTACTTTAAGCACGATGTTGTGTGCAATTCCAAAAAAAAAAAAAGAGAAAAAAAAATATATAAGAAAAACTAAGGAGTACAGAAAGGTTAAATAACTAATCAACTAAACTAAAGAACACTACAACTATATACACTATGTACACGTATGCCTAAACGGCTCAGAAAATCAGTTATATAAATATCAGGGAAGAGTGAGCATAAATTGCTTGATTTGCTTTCGAAAACGAGCAAAAGACATTTCCCTGTACTTTCTGGGCAAAGCATTGTAAAATACGGCAGCATTATACGAGAAACAACGCTTGAAGAGTGTCATAGAGTATGGAGGTATCCTGATCATAATACGGTCCCTGGTAATCCTGTCATGAATTTCTTGATTAAATATGATCTTTTCTCTCAGGTATGCAGGTCTTGACGCAGCTATCAACTTGTGCAAAAACACTAAGTATTTGCACCGCACATGTTTATCAATTCTTAGCCATTTCATTTGGCTGTATTTGTCACTAACATGGTCAAATCTCCTCAATCCATGAATAAAGCGAATGCAATTGTTTTGAATTATTTGAAGCCTGCTTTTCATCCGTTCATCAAGACATGGGTAATATAAAATATCACAATAACTGAGAATTGGCAACACAAGAGACTCACAAAGTTTTTTCCTCAGTTTAAAGTTCAGAAGGTGGCGATTGGCATATAACGCTCTCATTCGACCATACGTTTTTTTAGCTAAGGACATAACATGCTCCCTAAATCTCAATTTGCTATCTACTTCAACACCTAAAATTGTAGCTGAATTAGCAATCTGCAGCAGCGAGCCATCAAGGTTAACTTTAAATGTATTCTCCACGACACTTCTCCTTGCGTCGGAACAAAATAGTAATATTTGAGTCTTATCTGGATTAATGTTTAGATTATGGTCACTTGAATATTTTTGCACTTTGCTCAGATCCTGCTCTAATAAGGCAGCAGCATCCTGCGAACAAGAGGCGTCAAAATAATGAATGAGTTGAGTGTCATCAGCAAAGCTTAGTAAATCGGAATGTGCGACAGATTTGTGCAAATCAAAAGTGTATATGAGAAATAACGCAGGGCCTAGTATGGAGCCCTGAGGGATTCCTGATGGTATCATACTGACTTCTGATAGCCTGCTGCCTACAGAAACGCACTGCATACGGTGTGAGAGGTAGTTTTTGAAGAATTGGATAGCTATATTGTCAAATCCAATGTACTTTAACTTAGAAAGTAAAAGCACATGGTTAATTTTGTCGAATGCTTTGGAGTAGTCAATTGAAACTAGGGAAACTGCCATTTTTTTGTCCATAGCTCTTATAACGTTGTCGCACAGATTTAATAATGCAGAGGTTGTGCTGTGATATTTCCTAAATCCAGATTGATTTAAAGGAATGATGCCATTATATTCAATAAAAGACTCTACTTGAAACTGAACTGCTTTTTCCAGTATTTTTGACAACACAGGCAACAAACTTATGGGTCTTAGATGAGTAACATCAGTAGGTTTATTGTTTTTTGGCGTTGGTAAGATCAATGCATTCTTCCAGGCTTTGGGAAACAAGCCTCTTTCAATGCAAGTGTTAACTATGTGTACAATATGATAAAATATTATTGGTAAACTAACTTTGATCATTGTAATTGACAGCGTATCAAGGCCTTTAGCTATCTTCAGATAGCAAACTTTAAATTCATAGATACTGTTACACAGAATAACAGGCTAATGATTATTGAATACCACGTTATTAAATGCAATTTTGTGGTGCAATGATAAAATATTTCACATGAAGACACAATGAAATTGACAGAATATAATTTCTAATTACATTATGTCACATTGGCTTTTCGTTTTTATTATTTACCATTAGTAGTGGAAAGATACAGTTCTATAATACTTTGTTAGGGTTAGTATAGTCTTAAATTTCCTGCCAACATCATGCCAGACGTATAAATATCCTACCTGTGCATGTAACAACGGAATTCTGCCTTTTGAACCTGCATTCTCTCGCCTTCTCCTCGAAAAGATATGACTTTTCTGAGCCTACTCCCTCATTGTCCTTGATGTATTCGTATACCGGAATCATAAGGCCGCCATTGCAACCAGAGTTTCCGTAAGGCTCCGTGCAGTCAATCAAGTTCTGGACGCTGATGTCCGGAAGCTGACCTGTCTTGCGGTAGTGGTGACCTTCCGACGCTCCAGCCTGATATAGTATTATCGTCATTATATCCTGATCTCAATTATGGTCGAGTAGTTAGGATAATTTTATAGAATTTGGTAGCGTTGTTATCAGAGATTGCTATCCATAATTCCTATCAATTGGCATAATCAACTAATATCATAGGTCATCTCGAAAGCATGCAGCTAAACAATCATTTAACTTCATAAAATATTCTTACACACACATGTATCAAAATTTTATAATTTATAAATTTTGTCTGACGTATTTTTCTGTTGTATGATGAACTCGCTCGTGTGGAAGTAGTGTATAGGTCATATCATTAGTGTGAGTGAAATTGGTTTCGGAGAAAGAATTGCAGTATCCAAAGTAATGCAATACCCAATTACTTTGGGAATAAGCATTTTTATCCAACATTTTCAACTTAACTGATATTAAAATGACCTTGAAGGTCATGTTCAGGGCTATACCTGAAGTTAAAATTGTCGGCAATTTGCATTTAAGGAATTAAAAATATGTATTTCCATTTGAAAATTCATTTGACCTTCAAGTGACCTCGATGGTCATAGTCAAGATTATGGACATACCTGAGCATAAGATTTCTTTTTCTTTATATGTCCGGTGTCAAAAGTAGGGGTTTGCATTTGAGAAAACTGTCATAGATTACGTTGAAGGTCACCATTTAATGAATATTTTCAAACCTTGCAACTTCATTACACAACATTTTTTTCTGCGAAATAAGTTTCGAGATATTTTGTCCTTTGCATACCTTCTCGGCACTCGCAAATACCCATGAAGGTCAGGATCAAGGGCACGGGCAAAGAAATAATAATAATAATAATAATAATAATAACAACCAAAATAGGAACATTTTGACAAAATCCTTGGAAAATCAAATTTTTTTCGACCATATCAAAAGCTGTCCAGTGATTTTGAACAATGCCTAAACGCTCCCTGTCCTAAAAGATTCTCTTCTTAGGCGTGATATATATAGATTATGTTCCTTCATATCATTATACGTGATATGATCGAACAAAAAAAATACAAATAGCCGACTGCAGTAACTGAAAAGAATGGATTTTCAAGTTGGCTAGCTAGGCGAAGTAAGGACACCACTTATATCATAATCTATCAAGGCATTGGGCTTGTAGCCCTAGAAATAGAATTTCAAATTGCAATTTTTCATTAAAATCGGTTATTTTGATTTGATAACATACTGGCATACCCAGCGTCACTTATGTTACACTGTCAACACAACCATGGAGACACCTCTTATTTCAAAATCTATCAAGCCTTTTGAAATGTATCTAGCCCGTGAAATAGAAGTATCCTTGTCCACGTACATACACACGCACAAAAAAAATAACCCTCCTTCTAAGCCATTCTGATAAAAATAAGGTGATTTTTCACTTTTATCGAAAAATATATATTTATTCATGAATATGTTTTCGCCATAGTAACCGCCTTTGAATGTCATGCTTTTTCCAATCAACTCCTAATAACACTTTTTAGTGTAACATTTACTACCTTCAGCAATGTAACCTTTATCTCCACAATTATAGCAAACCTCCATCGTTGTATGGGTCTCTTCGGCTCTGGGAATAGAAGAAATCACAAGGCGCCAAATCGGTTGAATATAGTGGCGGAAGCATAACTTAAGGCACGAGTTTTTGTCCAACGCTATGGTATTCGAAGAAAACGTGTAGCAGAACATTAGCGTTTGATCAAACTTTGCGTTGCTTTTTTCGGTATTGGCTTCCCTGGAGCTTTCCATTGGGGCAGTTATTGGGCCTCCCTGGTTTCGACGTCATAATTGTACCTCCACGTTTGGTCGCGGGTTATAACCCTCTTCAGTGAATCAGAATAATCGCCAATACCATTCAAAAGCATCTGAGCGTCACTCATGCAATTGCCCGTCTGATCAAAATTAGTTTTGATACAAAGCTCGATGCCACGTGACTTATGCCCAAAGTATCACAAAATTCCTAAGCACAAACAATAGGAGATAATCAGCAATTTCTCTAATAGTAATTCGACGATTCTCCAACACTATTTGCTTCATTTATTCAGCGTTTTGATCAGTTGTTGATGTACTGCGGCGTCCAAGGCTAGCTGGATCATATGAACCTTCTCGACCTTCTCAGAAAAACTTATACCAATCGTAAACATTTTTTACTCATAAGCTACGTCAATATTTCGAGTGTTTCAGAACACTTACTTCCACTTTCCCTCTCAAAGTTACAGAGGCACAACCCAGTCATCTAATTTAAGTTATAATAATTCACGAAAATGCTTTGTGTCCTAAACACTTTTTTGAATAAGCGACAATAATTTATAACAATTTTTTGTTAAAAAGTGGTAGATGTGACCCGAGGATCTAATAGGGTCCGACCGAATTGACTATTTGGCCAAATCCGAATGTTTGGAAAATCAAAAGATGTGGGTTGTATTATAACAGTGGAATGTCAGAATTCGAATCAATTTCGGAAATAAAAAGAAAATTCCTGAACTTACGTACTATTTTGGGGTATAGGTTTTATCTGAGTTTCAACGGTTCATATTGATAATTTCGATGTCGCCTTGCCTTCACATATATAATCCCCTGTGATAATCTTGTCGCCTGATTCTGATTTCTATATCGAAGCTGTCCTGGCAGTATCGCAATTATCACAGCGGATCATCTGTAGACTTTAAGGTGTCAAAATTAATTTCAGTGATTGAAATTCAATTGGAAAATTGATTGTAAAATAAAACATTCACCATGAAAAACCTGTTTGAAATAGGAATTCAATCACACATACGTACTCACAGACCTATTTATGGAACATCTGATTCTCTAAAACACTTTTTCAAAATTATACCTTGCAATACCATCATCAGATTATCGGCGATTAAGAATCAAAGAGCGGGTGGCGGCTGCATTTTTCAGGACATAAGCATCGCTTCTGGAAGCAAACGCCCTTGTGAAAATCAAGAAGTGGAGGCTGGAATTCGCCGACGCTAGACTAATGATTCAGGTCTAAAAAGGTATATAGCATCTCTTGAAAAACTGAAGAATTGGACGTCTAAATCCGCCTTAGCCTGTATCTCAAAAGTTTCATAAGTTTCGGACATGCGGTCATGTGGAGTTTTCTTCTTAAAATGTCTCCAAAAATCGCCCCCTTGAATATTGACATGCAATTTAGGAAACATCCTGTATACACTGGCTAGGATCTAGAAGACATTTCAGACTACCCAATCAGTGACAACAGAGAAAAATAGAATAAGAGTCCATATTCGTATATGTTTATGTTCCTTACCACCCTTTGAAAAGCTTTTAATTGTTCCTAAATTCGCTGTCCAAGATTATGTTGCATTTTCACTCCCATAGTCCGCAAAATTTGGAATGAATAGATACAGATTTTTCGAAATCTTTGGTAATAATAATAGACGTCTTAATAAACAGAATTACAGCGGACTGATTGGCAAAGTTTAGCATTTGCTACACTTACACTTAACCAATCAGCCCGCAACATGCGTTAAGTGGTACATAAGCAATACAAGCGCTTCCAAAAAACAATCAACCAACGATTATTTAAGAAGATACAAAACTGCAATCATATTTTTAAAATACATATTATGGAACATTAATGATCAAATGGTTGATGAAATTAACCAAAGTTCCTCTTTCAGATGTAGTGTCAACAACAGTGACTTGATGTCTTTTAGGGATTCTCCTAAACTTTATAAAATGATGTACTATTTGGTGTTATCAAATACATACATATATAAAAATGTTGATTCAATGAAAACAATTTCTCGAGCTTAGGGATTTCCCAAACGACTTAAATACAATACGTATTTCTTTTTCCTGGAGTGACTACAAATGAGTAACTTTTGAAACTCACTCTAAGGTTGTTTTTTATATTTCCCCAACAAATGAGCTGAATCAAAAAGAAGCTTTCAGATCATGTAACTCCTGGAGCTCATCGTGTGGTTTTCATGTTCATAGGACTCCACACATGTGGATTCATTCAGCCTGACAATGAAGTCGTATGGCGTTTTCAATGTTTTATCACAATGGTGTAACAACTTCATCAAAAAACATGTCATTGAAGATCTCATTATCTAATTAGATACAGATCTTTTAGCGGAAGGCGATACTTTGGAAAATATTATCACGATATCTTTTAGTAAAAAACATCTTGATGCTCCACCGGATTGATAAGAAGCCATTTTCCACCATGAACAACTAAACGATGACTAAATAATATGATTTTAATGACCACAATGAGCTCTGACGGTGCTCAAACAAGACTGATGCTGCAGGTCGTGCGTGTGAATCGTTCGCTACTACCCAAGGACTGAGCTAACTGGTGACGAGAGCCCTACTGTTTTCTCAGCTTATCACCACACGCCAGTGGCCTGCTGAATCTTTTTCTGACCACGCATCCTGTCCCTTGCAGCACTGCTGTGCTGTCTTCCCTGGGTAACTCAGACGACGGTGTTGTGGAGATTCCCGTCGCTCGAGTGCCGTCGATGCAAAGAGTTGCTTCTACTGTGCGGGAAGTAACACTCAGACATAATACCGTAAAACGGATTCTATTGTAGCTCGACATCAACAAAGCTTCTTGTCCGGATATGATTACTGCCGTTGTATTGAACAGGAGCTTGCTCCAGTTCTGTAGGGTCTCTTCCAGATATCTTATGAATCTGGCACCTCCCCAGAATATTGGAAATTTGCTCATGTCGAAACCACCTTGAATTGCAAGCTTCTGGAGTACGTCGACCGTCACGGCTTGATTAACAACAAGCAGTATGGCTTCAAACATCAGCATTCGACAGGGTACCTCCTAGATTACGTCACGCAATTGTGGAGTAAACTCGTCCAGCCTTGTGGTGAAGCTCATGTCGTTGCTCTTGATATCGCGAAAGCTTTGCATCAGTTGCAGCTTACTGCCCTTCTTATGCAAATGTCCATTCCAATTCCAATTCCAGAAAAGCCTTGCAGATGGGTGCCTGACTTCCTCCGACCGCAAAATGTTGATGAAATTAACAAAAGTTCC